TTGTTTAATTTAGCTATATTTACTATAAAGTACATATACATCTTTTGTTTACAAATATGTATGTACACATATACTAATCCGATCAAGTTATTTTTAAAAATATTATACAGTAAACAAATATACTATGCAGGCTTTTATGAGAGAACGGGGTATGGAAGTTCTGAACCCTAGCTTTTAATGAAAATACATTTTGGGTTGGTATAACTTGTTACAAAAACAAAAACATTGGATGTAATAACATAACATTAGTATTATTTAGAGTTCATATAACCTAATATAATCAAGATGCATAAAGATGTATGAAACCCAAATTACGTATGTATGTACATATACGCGCATCTGACATCGATGCTTTTTGTTAAGAGGAAAACTACGGGCACAACATTTCATGTGACTTATAGACCTGAATTAGGGTTAAAGTTAAGTGCATTTTAGTAAGCGGACTGTTGTGTCTATAAGCACATAAGCACGTGAAATGTTGTGTCCGTAGCAATCTTTTCTCCTTTTGTTAATGCCTAATGTCTATTGGTCATATAATGAGTGTAATATCATAACGATTCAATATAGTTCAGAGGGGTCGGAGATCAGCTCCGATCACGTGGGGGTGGCATTAGCAAAAGTAGGAGGTGGCATTAACAGAACTCTATATTTATAGTACAGTTTTTGGAGGCAGTAATGAGAGCTGATAAAACAGCTATAAGTTCTGCCTTAAATGAACAAGGCCAAAGTTTTGTTTGAGCTTAGATTGTATGTAATATAGAGTTGTTAAAGATTGAACTCATCCAATACCCATAGAGCATTGTGAAGTTCCTAAATTAATAACAAAATCATCAGTATTGAAGTGAAGTTCAGATAAAGTGAAATTGTAGTTGGCGATCTGCTAAAGATTGTTTGTGGATAGAGTGTATAGCAATGTGGATATTAGGTAAATTTGAAGTTTGAATAGGATGTCTAATTGCAATAGAGTATATAAGGTCTAAATAATTGATATTGAAGTTAAGAGCTTTGTTTGATGATATAAGGAGATATATGTTTCTAGTTTAATAAACATAAATTGTCAAAAGTAGTAAGTTGGTCAAGGTATAAAATGTGATGATATCTAATTTGCTTTTTGAAGGTTGAATATTTAGAGTGTGAAGAAAGCAGAGATTCTAAAGAGATGGAACCTTCTTGAATAGTATATGGAATATTGTATGTTGGATTAGAAGTAAATACTATACCAAGATGTTTAAAAACTTGAATAATCTTAAAGTTAGTTGTATGTTTGTTGGGTTTATCAATGCAAGGATTGTCATGTATCAATATACTTGTAGATGACCAAAGGTTGTTCTGTAGTTGTTAAAGTCGAATTTGAATACTAGTGCCAAGAAGGTCATGAGAATTGAGCCTTTTAGTAAAGTTTGTAATATGGTGTTACAGTTGAATATTTCATATGTTGTGTATATTGTATAGTTGAGAGTGAAGTAGTGTACTAGTAGAAATAGTATAGCTAAGTTTGGCCTTGCTTTTGACAAGTCTGATATGGTTGGTAAAAATTTTGTTACATATGTTCTGGCTAAGAACAATATTGTGTAGATGGTATTTAATTGTAGAAATAATAACTGTATTAATAATATATCATGCATGTGTATTAATAATTTGTTTAGTATTAGCTATTTTGACAAAATATGATAATTCAGCTATTATAAGCTTAATCTGTTTTGCTTGCTTGTTGTCAAGTGTAAACCAGCATCCAAGAAACTTGAATAGTTGATTTGAGGGATGAAGATTAAGTAAGTGATTGTTATAAATAATAGGGCTATAATTGCATGAAGGATTGTTGGTTGTAAGTATAGATTTAGAAGGATTAATTTGATATTAGCCATATTATAAAAAGATTCTACAATTGAGAGAATTTGTAATAGTTCATGTTGTGATAATGCAATCCAAAGTGTATCATCCATATAAGCAAGAACTGAATAATGTGAATTAAATTTGTTGAATGTTTTGTGTTTAAGGTTAGTTGGCCAGGAGCTTTTGTAGTATAGCCTTTAAAGTTGTTATAAATATATGAAATGAGTAGATTATAGTATATTTTCTATAGGAGAAGAGTAATGGTTTCACCCTGATCAATAACATTAAATACAGAGTATAAGAGAATAAGGCCCAGATTTGTAATTACTTGGTTTTGTCGATCAGTAAGCAAATTGATAATAGTGTTTATAATAGAGGTAGGAAGAGCAAGACACTAAAGGGACTGTTGAAGAAGAGTAAGATTAAAAGAATCATAGGCTTTACTCATATCTTGAAATAGAAGCCAAATTGTTTTCTGATTGCAAAGTGCATCTTCAGTAAGATTGTTGAGTATATAAATAGGTATAGAGATGCTGTTGTGAGGTGAGGCAACATAGTTATATAGTGAAAGGATTGGGTGCTATGAGAATATATTGTTAATTCTATTGGTAATGATTTTTGTATAAACTTTACGAGTGCGTTCAATAAGGCTTATAGAACGAGTGAGATTAAGATTACTATTAAATATATTGTGCTTTGGAATAGAGATTTATTCTGCTATGCTTCCATTGCTTAGGAACATGGCTTGAGATAAGACACTGATTAAATAGTGCAGTTAAGGCTTTGATGCAAGTAGTACCTATATGCTTAAGCATTTCATAGCTAATACCTGTAGGACCACAGGCTTTTTCATTAGGAAGTTTTGCTATTGTTTGAGATACTTCTTCTTCTGAAATAGAAAAAGTAAAAGAATTATATCACTAAGTATTGATATATGTTTGAGGTTGGTATTGTTCAGACCAGAAGTTCGAAAAATTTTGATTGATAGGTTGATAAGCTGTCCAGTTAAGGAAATGTAACTGTATATATTGCTTAATAAGATTTGGATTTGTAATGAGTTAGTTTAGAAGTTTAATATTAGAAAAGTGAATAGAAACTTAGTAACGGTTAAGAATACTATTGATTGCTTGTTTGGGTTTTGCAGAAAGTGTTTCACATCTTTTCTCAGTTGCTTGTTTGATTTGTTGTCAAAGTAAAAGAGAGTTTTTAATCTGGTAAGCATTATAAAGTTGCTTCCAGGTTTTTTATGCGTGTTGGATCCATAAAGAATGTTGAGAAGAAGTAAAACTTGAAGATCACAATGAGACCTTGAGTTGATATTGTGAATTTTGGAATTGATAAGGTTAGTGTCTATATTGTTATTATTGTTTTTAATAATTTTGATTATATAACTAAGTTCTTTAAGTAATAGATAGAGTGAAGTATAATGAAATATGTATTGATGATTATAACTATGTTTTCTAGTTATTTTATTAGATATAGTGTGTATTGCCATATTAATAATTGAGTATTCAATTTTGTGCTAAGTGGTTTCAAGACTTTTATTAATATCAATACTTAGAGGAGTGTGATGTGAGTTAAGGTTACAGTAAGCTTGTCAGAAAATTCTGTTCACTTTTCAAATGATATGCTTTTGTAGTTAAAAATTCTTTAGCAAATGCTAGTATGATAGTGTGGAGGTTTGCTATATGCATTAGTAAAAGTCTAGGAAAATAAAAGAATAGTGTAATCACTAGATGTTGAGGTATGGCTATTGTCAAGATTATATGAAAGAAAGAACTGAATATTAAATGAGTCTGTCTAAATATAATCAATGTGACTTTGGCTAATATTATTTGACTATGTATAGTGTGTATTATTAGTATATACCCCAAGATCATACATATTAGAGTGGTGTAGGTAGTTGATAAGACAATATTTAGATGATGTACTAAAAACATTATCATGTATATTAAAGTCGCCAAGAATGATTGGATGAAGATTGAGTTGATAAGCTTGTTGAATTCATGCAATAACTGTGTTTTGTATTTCATTGTGTTTATGCATATCTGTAGAAGAAAGATAAATACCTATGATGTGGAGTTTAATATTGCTTTTGAAGAAAAGATCAAGAGCAATTGCTCTACTAGGATGTGTTTGGCAGTTGTGAATATGGGGTTTAAGATGATTGCAGATTATAATAGCAGTTCCTTCAGCTGAGCTATTAGAGTTAGCCCAGAATTAGGTAAATAAGTTGTTATTACAAAAATGAAGATTTGTAGTGTTGACAATTTTAGTTTTAGTGATACAGGCTATATAAATATTATTGTGAAGACAATAATTCTGCCATGCTTCTCTTTTGGTTATATTGTTAAAACCTCTGACATTATGAGTAGCAATTGTTAAATAAAGATCTTGAAGTTTTTCTGCAGATATAGAAGTTTGTGGTATAGGTATGTTGGAAGTAAAGTAGATGAGTTTAAAATGTTATTAGTAGGATTATATAATAGTAAAAATAGATCTGCTAGTAGTGATTTAAGTTCTTCATTAGAGGTTGTAAATGATAAGATTGGTGATGTGTTTGTATAAGATTTAAGAGGTATATTGTATGTATCAAATGTTAATGGTAGAATATAATTTGGCAGTAATTTAGTCTTATGTGGTAAATAGATATGTGCTTCTTTCCTGTCTTTAGATAGTGAAATAGTAGTAAATTTTTTAAGATGTAGAGCATAGATACTAAGATGAAAATAGAAAGATTGTAATGTTTAGGTTTTTTAAGAAGAGGAAGTTTGTGATATAGTAAAAATTTGTTATAGCATGCATCCAAATCATAGGAGTTTAAAGATGTTGATGATGATTTGGACAAATAGTCTTCTGCAGAATCGTTTACCATTTTAAGCCCAGTTCTTACACCATAAAGAGTGCCATAGGCTGCTCTGTACATTGAGTTTAACCATCATTATCTTGGTTCTCCATGTAAATAAACTTAACTACCTGTTTACTTGCATCATTCTTTTCTGAGAAAGGGCCACTAAAAGTGAAGGACATCATTATCTCAGAAGCGGTGGCTGCTGCAATAAAGTCTACAGAAGAAGTTATTAAAAAGGATTATATGAGAGAGTAGTAATAAGTTGGAGATTTTGTTGTAAGTTTTTGTTAGAGTTGGAGTTTTTATTATCAGTAGTTTAGTCATTTGTATTAGTAGTAGAGTTATTATTTGAATCTGTTATAATGATATTATTATCTTCATTAAGTTCAGAGGAGGATGTTTGGTCTTTATTAAACTTAAGTGTGGAGGTTTGGTTAGTAGTATCCTTGGATTGTTGTGAAGTAGAAGATTTGGATAGGCTGGTAGTGCCAGAGTAGAAAAAGATGTTTGATAGAATTTTTGGTGTTTTGAAGTTAATATTAAACTTTGTATATATAATATTTTGTGCTTGAGGAAAGAAGATCTCTTTGTAAACTTTTTTAATATATGTAATAGAAAGTTTTTTACCAGTTTTAAGAATATAAAAGTATTGAGAACTTGAGCGAGATAGTCTGTTTTGATTGGCTTGTTAGTGATTTTATCAATTGCTTGTTGGAGATAAAGATTGTTGATTTGATCATTTTTAGCAGCAGCTTTGAGAAATGCATTGAGATAGCTATAAAAATAGTAACTTTCACGAGAAGAGTCTGTTACTACTTTATTTATTTTTATAAATTTTTTCTTCAGTTTCAATAGCAGGTTGCATAGGAAAAGAATTGGAGTAGGTTTTTGAAACATTGCAGTGTATTATTTGTCCTTGTCAAATATAGAGAAGTTAAGGTCAGGATGTGTATATACAATTTTGAATGTTGTAGAAGTAGTTTTAAGAGAAGCAGGAAAGTGGTTAAATGATTCTTTGAAGAAGAATATAGATAGATTTTTAGTATTATGTTCAGTGTCTTTGGGTAGAGTAATGCAATTTTCGATAGTACAAGTATAAATATGGTAAAGTGCAGCTTTGAAATATAAGAAAGATCTTTTATGTAGTGAGTTAACACTAATAATAGCAAATTCTTTAGTAAGAAGTGCTTTACAAATATTGGAAAGCTTAAGACCAATTTGGTATTTGATATGATTATATGTTTTTTGTTTGGCAATATTAGTAAATTGACATTTATAAATATCAAAAAATTTGTTAAACCAAGATTCAAAGTCTGGTAGATATTTTTTAAGAGAAGGTATTTAGAAGGTTTCTAAAAAATGTTTTTTGGGTATGCTAAATGAAATATTAATGTTGAATTTAGAATCATTTTGAATTTTGAATAGTGGTTGGTTGATGCTGTCTTCACTAATTTAGTAATAGAGCTCAAATCGGATTGGTGTGATATTAAAATCTTCATAGAATTTGTTAGAGTTGATTGTTTTGTATTTATCATATAAGATAAAGTGTAGGTGAGCTAGATTAAGTGCAACTTGTTTTTTGTTAGAAATAGAATAAAGTGGAATAGAATTATAGGATGAAAAAAATTTAGAATAATTAAGTTGTGTAAATAAAGTAGTAGTAAACTGCTTAAGTAATGCAATAAGAGTAGAGAGAAGGAGTTCAAAGAGGATTTCGATGTCTGAATTAATAGTAGAGATTATTGCTATGAATAAAATCAGTAAGAAATTTAGGTTTTTTTTCATCAAGACTTTAACAAAGTACAAGTAATTAGATTTAGATTCTCGTTAAATGTCTGAGGCTGGTCTAATAACTTTGCCAGGATAAATGTCAATAAGATGTGGTCTAATAAAGTCAAATAGCTGGTGTCACAGGTTAATCAATGACTTTTGTCAAGGAATAATCTAACCCAAATAGTAGAGCACTAATAATTAGGCACTAAGTGAACTGAACTCAATAAGACTAGCAAGTGTTTTTACTATTACTTTATTTATTTATTGAGGGTTATTTTATTATATAAGAGCAAGACTAACTAAAAACTAACCAACTCCTTTACTACTATTACATTAGCTTTACTTATATATGCTTCGAGTCACATTACTTACATTATACTTTGCTCATACGATCATATAATTGTTTGTCTCTTATATTATTGTAAATGATCTTATTAATGATTCTTTAAAATTATCATGGTACCTTACTCCAGCACTTATTAAATTACTGATTATATATAATTGAGCATTCCAATGACCTTATGATTCTGATCGATCATATGCATCACATGCACAAGTTGTTTATCGATCGATTGATTATTACCTTATTTTTATACATATTAATGCATATTGTATATCACCATTATACGAGCTAGATCCCCTGGAACTTCGTCCTGAAGTTTCCAACTCCTTTTGCATACTTTTCCCAAAGACATCATCAACATCACCAACCCTACTATTACAGTTACTTTTCACCAACAATCCTTTTTCTTGATCAAATACACTTCTTATTATTCGATCATCACTTCTAATGTCAAGTTATACATTCAGATCACTATTTGCAGCAGGCTTCTGGTACTATCCAATAATTTTATTATCAAGATCTAAAGTTCATATGCCAATGCTCTTTGAACAAATCCACACCACAATCAAATTCATCATTCTTCAACACTTTCAACAGATCTTTTACTATCTCCTCCTCTCTTTGAACTATATCTATTTTAGACTTTGTTTTAGCAAATTTAACATATAAGGTCACTTCACTACTTGGCTCAGGTAGGGATTCGAATTTTTCATTGTTCGTTTGATGCATCTTACTACTACTTGTATTAACCACCACATTTATTTCTCTATTTTCATCAATCATTTCCTCCTTTACATTATTGTTCATCACTGACTCTTCTGCAACACATCCAAAGTCAATTAAATCTTTTTCAATAAATGCATTAAATATAATTTCAGGTTCCCTTTCATCTATCTGATTGGATTCATCAAAATCAATCAAACTAATCTCTTTATCAACTCCAACTTCATCACCAGTTAATTCTCCCCAATCACAATAACCAAAATCATATGTCCTATTACCACACCAGATATCTGCAGATTCACCATTGCTGTTCCTCATATCTGACAACAACTGGTCAACTTTAGCTTCCAAGTCATCCAACCTTTAATTATCTACTTCACCAATCGATTTATTACTTTCAATATCATTTTCTTCAGCATTTTCTGTCTCTAATCCAGCTTGATTAGAATCGCCATTCCCGATTCTATCCCAAAATATTTCGAATAAGTTTATACCATGATTTGGATCCTCATTGGATGCTTTGCTTTTATTGTTACTAACACTTTTGCTAATCATCACACTTACATCTCCAACTATTTCTATCTTTTGTTTTGTCAACCCATCACTTTTGTCCACATTTTTAATACTCATACCTTTCACTTCCTCCATGTTATGTAAAACAACATCACAAAGTATAACTAAGTACTTGCCAAATGCTTACTAAGTACTTATTAAATATTTATTATAATTACTTATTAAACTAATTCTAACGCAGCTTATATTTAGTAAATATTTAAACTAAATATTTAGTAAGTAATTATAATAAGTATTTAATAAATATTTATAATAAGTACTTAATAAGTACATCTAATAAAAAGTATTTAAATAGTAACTTATGCTTAATATCTTTATAGCAAAGTTAAAATTGTAATATATATTAGATTAAATTAAAGTTAAAATTAAAGTTAGTATTAGAGTTCGGGTAACGTAAAATTGCGAGAGAAACATTTTTGCTTATATTATATAAGAGGTGTTATCTAGTCAAAATTTTGAGATATTAGCAATTTTAGAATTGAAAATACTAAGTAAATGAGATATTAAGTCAATAAAAAAATCAAAGTTATTATAAGTATATAATAAGTATTAAAATTAATTATTTATTTAATATTAATTATTATAGTATTTAATAAATATTAAAATTAATTGCTTATTTAATATTAATTATTATAATATTTAATTTATATTAAATTAAAATGATTTTTTAATATAAATTAAATAAGTATTTATAAAATATTTAAAATTAATATTTATTTTATATTAAATTATAATAATTAATAAATACTTATAATAAATATTAATAAGTATTTATAGAATACCAAATATTTAAAAAATATAATATATAAATACTTATTTAATAATAATAAACTAAATGTTTTTTTAACTTTGTGATAAACATCAGGTTCATCTTGTGAATTGTCAATACTAATTCGTTACAAGATGGACTGGTAATCTGCTTAGGTTCTCATATCACAGGTTAATCAATGACTTTCATCAAAGAATAACCTAACTCAAATAGTACAGTCAGTGATTTTATCATATATGGATTATGTCGATTGCTCCTTTTATAGTAATAGAAGGTATCGATAGATTAATCTAGTAAATCATAGAATTTAATAAAAAGATCATTTGATTGGCTAATGCCGTAATATACTGGGGCTGCGTTTGAGTTTTCGCTTTAACTGTATACAGGTATAACGATATATTTTAGAAAGTTCAAGTTCTGAAGTTTGGTTCTAGCAATTTACATATTCATTATCGCATTACATAGAAATTTCGAATACCAGAATTGCGATCAAGAAGTTATAAAAGTTCGACCTAATTTTCCACTGCTTGTAAAGGTAAAGCGTTACGAAAAATTCTTTTTTGGTTTAGATTCCACTATGGTTTGTCTAACAACATGCCTAATGCCTAATTATGACAGTGCGTTTTGTGAAGTAGTTCTGATCAGTTATTGAAAACGAACAAAGATTTTCTGTAAGTTATTATCTCTATTTTACATTCTATTAACATTAGTTTATTTATCATTGCTTCTCTTCATGCTAATTATTCGCTTTTTGGTATATCACATCCACAAAATGTATGGTTCAAAGTAGAATCTTATGATAGTGGCGAAATTATTTTACTATAATTTAATTTTTGCGACATGAATCGAATAACAAAATTTTTTGCTGGTGGTATACAAAATACCCATAATCAATGCATTTCGATTTAATAAAAAATAAAAAACTTTCATATTGTATATAAATAAGTTTTTACAAATAAAAAGAATTTATAAAAATACAGGAATATAATACAGTAGGGGGTTTTAGAATTATTTCGAAATAAGTGAATTTTAAAAGATCCTATTTCTCTTTTAAAAGTTCTGAAGCAGGAAATTAAATGGGTTTAGTCGGTAAAATAATTAGCTTCCTTTGATTTTTTTTTTTTTTTTTTTTGGTGTTACGGTGAGGCCTTGCTTATATCTTTATTAGTAATTTTAAAAATAGTGACTACATTGTAGAAATACTACTATTTGTACAAGTACAAATAAAAACAAAAATTACATGCAAGAATAGAAGCTCAGACATATTTATCTATGACCTAAACTCACAAATAGTTCAATAATATAGTTAGGCTCATCTTAATATTCTATGAGAATTAAATAGGCTCAAATTCAACATAATAAAGTTCAATATACCTTTCAAGCACAAATTAAACTTTGGTTATATTTATTTAAAGCTAACTTTTTGTAATACTTTTTGTATTTATTACAGCACTAAGAAATTGTATAGTATATATCTATATAGATTCACAGTTAATAATTTCTAAATATAATAGCAAATACTTCATATTATTTATTATAGTATACTTTAATTAATTTTATTAACTTATATAAATTATAAGTTACTTTCACAAAGTTAATGCATATCAAGATGATAAATATAATAACTTTGCTGATTAATTTGCTCAAAGCTATTATTCTATTATACCATTCTTAGAATTTAATTTTCAGAATATAAACAATCTAAAGTATACTCTTCAATTTAATAATTTTCCAATTGAATTGCCTATTAGACAATGTATTTATACAATCTGTTATACACAAATTTATATTCTTTGGTTATCACAAAATTGCTTTCAACAATAAATTCTAATTATACCATATATTAATTAAAATACTACTTAGTTATTTATTAATAATAATCAAAAAATAATAAACTATTTACATAGCTTTCAATCTACTACTCTTAAATCTTTTAGAATTAAAATTTTACTTGATGAGCTATCTACTCTACACATCTGTTATAATTGTTATCTATCTTACTCACCAAACTGCTATAAATGCAACCAAATTAGCATAGCACTCTATTGGCTAATTTGTCCAAATTCTCAGTATCTAAAGAACCTTATTTACAAATCACCTCAGCATATTCTTAAACCTTCTACTCTTGACATATCAACTAAATCTACAATGAATCTATATTCTCAAATCAAAAAATTTAACAGTATGCAAATACATAATAATCCTAATATATCATCCTTGTTTTTAATAATAACTGGTTTCATTCCTCAAGACCTTATAGACTTAATTAAAGACATTACTTCATCAAACAAAACTTTAACTAAACTTGTTGTTCAACTTTTATTATATTTAAATCAACAAATTTACAAAGACTATTGGATACTATACTATGCCTCTTGAGCAAAAACTAATATACCAACTAATACTCCATCTACAACCTCAGCATTACAAATTCTATCTACTCAATTAACACCTTTCATTATTGTGTAAGTACTAAATTCAAATTATAGTACTCAAAGTAGATTAAATATCAATATAGCTTACACAATTTAATTATCTCAGAAATCTAGATGAGCTATAGTTATTTTAGTAGATTTAGATCGCAGATATCTTCTATAACTTTTAAGTTAGCAAGGGCTCTGTCTGAGTCTCTAGTTTTAATATCTTATAGATATAAAGTTCAAATAATATAATTTATTTATTTAATTTATAAAGAAGTTGAATTAAATTTTAATAAAGATAGAAGCATAGCCTCACCTTTGAAGATTAAAAATAAATAAATAAATAAATAAAAAATTAAAATCTAAAGGCTTTTTTAATCCAACTTAATTATTACTATATTATATAAACTATTAACTTTCTTAAAGACATTGTCAAACTAATAAAATAAATATAAAATGTATTAGATTTCAAGAACATAAAATTTTTTATTATTAAAATAATGTTAAATATTAGTATATATACAAATTTTAATATCATTGTATGGCTATTATGCAAATAAAACTTTGTGTAATACTAGATAGCTTTGTACCAACTTATATTTTACTTTACTCTTCATCATAGCAATAACCTTTTCATATAATAGGTTTGTAAAATTTGTAATATGTTTTACAATATCTAATATGCTACAGTATAAAATTAATCTATAGCTGTAATCTGAAGTAAATTATAGAGTGTAATCTAGAGTAGTAATTTTCAGAGTAGTGTAGTTTTAATGTTGGCTCTAGCAGAATATGAATCACACCATCTAAGTTTACTAATTTCTCCTCACACTTCACTATCAGAATACTATAAAATTGATCACTTTTACTAAAATGCATCTATAGTATTTTATCACCTATGTTGTATTATCTCAAAAACTGGCTAATTAATCGATGTAAGGTATTCTAAGTAAAAATGTTCTATGCCTCCAAAATTCCTTTTCAAATCTTAATCCTAATCTTAATATTAACTTTAATGTGAAAAATTAATGTTAAAAATTTTATATACAAAACTTATAAAAACTTAAAAAATTTTAAAAAACATAATAAAAACATATAATAGGTGAAAACCACTATAGGTGCGTTTTATAATAATTGAAATTGATTAATAATATAAATACTCTGATATATAAATAATTAGTAGAAATAATCAGAAGTGTGGAGAAATAGTCAAGTCACACTATCTGATTGATTTACAAACATTTCATTTTATTGATTAAAACACATGTATATGTTGAGTTGAGTCCAGACTTAACTTTAGACTGAGCTTTTATAAAGACAGAATCGAGTTTGGCAGACTGAACTTTAATATTCTAACTAATCTCTGATCAGCTTATCATTATATAAAACTTAAATTCAGACAATAAGTATAATGAAAATTTCTGTCCAATCTTAATCAGTTAGAATATTAATAATTTTATATAAATAAATTATTATATATAAGTGCTGCCAAGAGAAAGTGTTACTTTAGACTTCAATTATATTTTGACTAGACACTTTTTATTTAATATATTAAGAATTGTATCCAGTCAGAATGTAATTGAAAGTTCGAAATGACATTTCTCTTGGCATTACTCATATGTAGGGTTCAGAATCAGGTAGCCCGATTGATTTTAGAATTTTTGAAGGCTGTAAAAATATATTCTACAATTGATGCATAAGCTGAAATCAGTATGTGCAATTAATATGATAAAGCCACTTTCAGCAAATAGACTCCATTTATACCTAGCATGTGTCAATTATCAGTGGCAGGTCTTTAAAGTCAGAGAGATTCAGGCTGAAGCCCGGCCTGTGAACCCGAACCCCCTGACTTTAAAGACATGCTACTAGTAGCAGATATATACGAG